GGTCTTTATTTCCCTACGGACCCTACCCAATCCTATATAGGATCTTGAGTTTGACTACCTTGTTGGATATCATGAAGATGGTCCATGTTATGATCTTGCGATTTACGATCTTTATTTCCCTACGGACCTTACCCGATCCTATATAGGATCTTGAGTTTGACTACCTTGTTGGATATCATGAAGACGATGGCATCCACGCTTTGATCACAATGGGCATAACCTCCAATTACTTAACTAAAAAATGTCTTACCAACAATGTACAGAAATAGATCACCAACAATGTCTTACTCTGTTTGGCCATTTTGATGGACAGAAATAGAACAAATGTGATAAAAAAAAAAAAAAAAAAAATCGACGCAAGTTCAGTGAGGACCTGATTTCTATGTTTTTTTCAAACACTTGATCTCTAAGTTATTACCATTAATTGAAAGTTTAGACCCTATATTGAGTTTGGTCCTAAACAATAATATTCTATGCAAACTAATAACATTCTATGCAAACTATCAATCAGTACAATGTTTTGTAGAAACAAAAGAGGTAACAACCAGCTGATATATAATAGTCTTAACGGACTGGGAAAATAACAACATGACAAAAAAAACTACATAAATGACCTTTTCTGGATCATGTAAAGCAAGCCATATGCTGGTTGCAACTTCAATATTTTGAGGAGTAGAGCGGCCCGCAATAGCAGGAATGCATTTTGCTGCATTCAAGCATGCCATCCTCACATGAGCATCTTTGGCATAAATACCAGAAAGGGCCTGCAGAGAAAATGCAGCATCACAGATAAGACATTCACATGTCAACTGAAGAAGAAACTAATATTCAAAGTACATACAGAGGCAACTTCTGCTGCAGTCAATCCTAGACATAATTCATTAAGTGATGGACCAATGGAAGCTTGATACGCAGGAACAACACCAAGAACATGATATAGAACCTGTGATTGATTAAATGAGAAATTGAGCTAATACAACTAGAAAAGAACATTATGATCCCAAAGATTAAAAAAAATGGCATATGGACCAGAGCCTAAGGTCGTAACTGATAGCATTCGAACCCTCGGAAGGGGTAAGGCAGGATCCAAATGTAAGAATATTATCTGGAGAACGTCTTCGTGCAGCCTTGTCTTCTTGGAAGCCAGTAGTATCCTCTCCATTATCTGCAAAGCAGAAGAAAAATGAAATGAAACACATAAAAGAACTGACAATCAAAAGAACGTCTTCCGATAATCAATAAAACACATAAAAGAACGTCTTCGTGCAGCCTTGACAATCAAATGCACCGGGAAAGAACATTACAGCACAAGCAGAACAAGGTATGCTCAAAAACACATTAACTTACTGGGAAAACAAAAGTAAATGAATCCACAGGAAGTGGCCCAGATTTACAAGAGAATGATAAGCCATTTACTACTCGCTCAAAGAGACCAGGATTTTCGTTAGCCTCCTCACTAGCTGATGGAAATAGTGCCCATAAGACGTTAGGTTCCTCTGTCCTAATTAGCCGCAAAGCCGTGGCAATTTCAAGAGCCCAGTTGGAGAGAGGGGGGGCAACACACTTTGAGAGCTTCGCCAGCACAGTGTATGCCACATCACCAACTATTGGTGAACCTAGCAGGGGATCAATAAGTCTGACCTAAAGCCACAGTAGAATGACAAGTAAGACTAAGTTCATTGACACAAGAAAACAGGAGTAACCACGTATAATGAAGAATATTACTCATAAATATCCATTTTGCTATAATTCTTTTCAAAACCAAACTGGACACTTGGACATCATTTGGAGAAATTTGTTTAAGGAGTAGAAGCATAGCAAAGTGATGAAATGAATGTCAGCCCTGTCTAGATGTGAATTGACAAGCTGAGTGACATAATACTAACCAAAGAAGGTAACTGACTGTGTGTAAAAAACCATATTGGCTATGGCAATTTCCCCCAGAGCTTTCAGCATTGACGAGAGATTACTTTTCACAACCATGACTCTTTCACGTATGCATGCTTCCCTCCCTAAGTTGCATCTCACGAGCCTCTTCTTTAGCAGTCTTGCCTCTGTCCTTTTCTAAAAGTCGGAAAATACAATTTGCACGTCAAAACAAATGCTAAAAGCCTAAAAGTTAATATTCAAAGACTAGTATTTTTATGAATTATAATAAGTGTCTTTCAATGCAGTAATGAAGATAGCAAAATCGCCTACCAGATTTCTTAGTTGGCTTCCCCACCATCTTTTTTTCCGACAACAGGCATATCTTTGCTAGAAGTCTCAAATTTTGGCACACGATTGGAATTTTCTTTTTCCTGTTGCAAGGGAAATGGTGATTAGGAAAGCAGAAGTTAAACATCACAAGCACATATGTCAAAGAAAGACATGACAAATGGAATCACCATGTCATCATTGCTATCATAGGCACGAAAACGGCCTTTTGGTTGCTTTGTGTTCTTGGCTGAAACGGATTCAGCTATGTAAACACCAAGCTCCGTAGAGAGCATCCCTTCAGGAATACGGAAGATCTGGGGGAAAAAATAACAATAAGAAAACTCCTCAAAATACAGACTTACAAAGATTATCAATTAGATCATCTAAAGATAAATGAAAATCAGTGGTAACATAACATCTATACTGCCTCCATCCCTTAAAGAAGTTCCTAGTTTGACCTTTCATAAATATTTTTAGAGTACACTGTATTGACAATGTGCAACACTGTACAGTTACCAATACTTAGGGTAGTATCGTATATTGATAAGATTTTCTTTACTGAATAAGGAAAGAGACTTTATTTAGGGACATCCTGAAAAGGAATACAGGAACTTAATAGGGACTGAATAACTGAGGTAGTATTAGATTTTGAATTTATGGTGCAAATGTCTTTTTAGCCCGAGATGAGGCATCCCTTCTGACCCTCTCACACATAAACAAGAGATTGATTAGTTCGGTACAACAAACACACGAACAAACAAAACTACAGTAGTTAAAGCCTTGTAAATGAATGTAAATTAACAGTAAAGACAAAGACTAGTCATGCAATATTCACGCCCAACTGTAAGAATTAACCTGAATATCATGTTCTGAAAACATATCATGTGCATGACGATCTGGAAGGTTGTTGAAGTTCTGCAGATAAAAAAAAAGACAAGTTTCAACACTAATAAATTCAGATCATCACCAGCAACAACAAATGAGTCTTAACCCCATCACTGGGATCAGCTACATGAACCAAGAGCTGATCTCCCAATGGCATCCCGCGTCCACCAATATCTTCATGCACTCTTTTTTGTCATGCAGCATGTGCTCATGAAGCCTCGATGCCAGAATTTTGTTTTTAACACTGATTCTGCTCCTTCAAGGAGCAGTTAGAAGCAGAATCAGTTTAGCATATGTTTAGAAGCACTTTTGAGGAATAAAAATAACGTGAGGGAAACTAGGAGATACTAACTTCTGAAAAGGATTCTGATTCTACAATAATCATTTCTTAAAAAATCTCCTTCCTTTCGCTCTCCAAGTTCTCCTAATTGTGATTCTACTTTTTAAAAAATTAGAAGCAGAACCAATCCCAGACAACACCATAATATAATCTAATAAACTTAGAAGTTCATTAATTACTCCTGACAGCAAAACAAATTATATCGGAAAGTTAAAACAGAAAACCTTAACAAATTCGGCATAAGTTTCTCCAGGAATTATAGACATAAGAGTGAAAAATGAGTTTATTGCCGCTTCTTGCTCAAAATGATTTCCACTCATCAGGCCTCTAGAGCCAAGCAAACCCTACAAAATATCAAAAGATATTGGGCTTATCGTAATCGGTAATGAGCGATGACCCAAAGAATCAGACTACATGATATAAATTAAGTCACTTACCTGACATAAGCCGGCAACGTCAGAGGTAAAGAGATTAACAGTATCAAACCCTTGTTTCTGCAAACACTTCTGCACCCTCTGAGAATAAACAGTAGATGAAGAGAAATGTGAAGAAAACATGAGATATATTGCTACAGAGTATAGACCATAGGGAAATTAAATAAAAGGGGCAGCCAGAAACTGGCCATACTCTGTGAAGTTTATTAAAAGGTTGAATATATTTTTCAAACATGCAAGTCAAAGACACTCAGACAACGAAGGAAACTGAGAATGTTTTCTGCAGTTTAACTTGATGAATAAATGCATTCATACAAAAATGGTCACACATACATACATATGTGTGTATTCATTTATATATAAATGCCTCCAGAGATAGACTGAAATAATAAAGCACTTACCCTCCATACTGCACTTCTTTTAGCTGAACCAATGAGACATGGATGATGAGAGCAAAGCAAAATTTGCACGCATACGTGTGGCACAACAGATAAAGTTGCGGGTGATAAGGCAACTAAAGCTTTCACCAAAACTTCAACAGATGGTATAGTTGGAGCTTGGTTATCCAATGAGCTGTCTGTATCACTACAAGCATACGTAGTTAATAGCATTGATATATATATATATATATATATAATGTAACAAATGCTATGATTGCCATGAAAAATTATTAAGCAAATACAGTCTTCTAAATGAATGAAATGACAACTGGCCAGAATATAAGGGTTACCAGTTACTGATATCAGTTAATGATTTTTAACCATCAGTGTAAAACGGGAGGGAGGCTAAAATGTTTTATACACTGTAACAGAAAGGAAATTATCTAGCTAAAGCCTAAGAGATAATTGACCTCTGCACAGGTTTATTAACACATCTGGTTTAAGGCCGGAAGTCTAGACAAATAACAGTTGCAAATCATTGACAGGCATCACAAAATATGACAACCCTTTGGATGTGACTATGATAAAATTTAGTGTATCAAACTTCATGAGAACATTATATTGTGTCTGTGCAATTATAAGGAGGTAGCTTAATAGTCCACATAGAATATAAGAAGCCCAATGACAACATTGAAGAACATAAATAATAGGTTTGGTTACTGAAATGTAGTTTCCTCAACTGTGTTGCATAGTACAGTGTTGTACTATCCTGTGCCACAAATTCATTTTACCTGATTGTTATCCATAATGTAAAGCTCCACCTTAAACTACTACAGATGATGAAACGGTCTCATGCCTCATCAATTCAAGCACAATCTAAGATTCTAAAGTACTGAAATGAGAAAAAATTGTGCAAGTCCGCTCGTGTTTCCCTTGCTATAACTACTTTATAGTCCATACAATGATACAGTTGACTTTAAATATCAAAGCTAGTCAATCTGTGTATGAATATCTCTACTCATTGGTAGTCCAAGTGTCCAACTAAGCGCACAAAAAATTACAACTGTACAACAAAAGAAATTTTAAAATTTTCACTTTCAGTGAGTTTGAGAAAATATATTTTTCGGCTGAGGGAGAATGTTAAGAAAGAGTAGGCATGGTTCAAAGAGCAATGCTGGTACAAGAGCAGTTCCCTAATAAACTTGGAGTTCCATTTCAAGTTAGCATAGCTCATTTTGTCTATTACATTTAGTCAAGCTTGGACTTTTCAGCAGTTTCCTTTCATAAGTTTTAAGAGGCAAATGGTGTGACTTAAAGGATTGAATTTAGAATCAATAAGTAGTGTATCAGCATGGGCTATTATAGTGTCGAAACTCACCCTGTCTTCAAAAGAAGAATCTTTTCACCAACCGTTGAGAGATAATTGTAAAAGCCAAGCATTATAGATTCAGATAACTGCGGGGTAGCAGCAATGACCTTTTTAACGGAACCATGAGCTGAACTCCGGACAGCCCAACTTGGATGACAAAGTACAAACAGTATGAACTGCACAGAATTGGTTAACAATTAGATGAAAGCAACTATTGTAAGAAGAATGATGTTCAAGCATGTATCACTACTAACCTGTACAAATGTGCTTGCAGGAAAAGTCTCCAGAATCCTGCTGCTTACCAGAAAATACAAACATTCATTTACAATGTTCAATCTCAATGTTTTTTTCCTTACAATAAAAAAACAAACCTGTGGGGATGTTCGACCAGAAGGGTCTCAAAAAGGTCAAGGCATGCCATACAGTCCTCAGTTGATAATTTTGAGACCTGAATAGGTCAGTGAGATGTGTTTAAGATACTGAAGAAAGAGAACGATGAGCATCATACTAATTACACTATTTGGCATTTCTAACAATTATTAAATGAAAATAAAACATCTCATACAACAGTAAAAAAGTATTTGCTGAACATTTACCATTGAAATTGGTAGCAGCGAAGGTTCGTTCTGTGATATTAATGACCAAATATTTTCCTTTGATACAGTCTCATCTACAGAAAGGGAATCAGAAAAGGTAAAAATGTGCTTTTGAGTAAAACTCGTGCATATATTAAAGTCAAAAACCAAATGAAAGTATGAAACCTGCTTTAACATCTATGGCAGCAATTTTTGCCACACAAAAAAGTGAATAAATCCCATCCAGTCGTTGCGCTACTTTGGTGAACCCTGTTTTAACAAGCTGGAGAAGAGGTGCTAGCAAAGATGAAATCTGAAACAAGTACATTGAAAATCATAGGATTTAAAATATCATGGAAGAAGCAAAAGAAAAGCATACAATGAGTCATAAAAAAGATTTTTCTCTCTCGCATACCCGAGGAACAGCATCAACGTTTTTGCAAATCAGTCGAACACAGCGAAGATGGCTTTTCCTCAATGTTTCCTTCTCTCTGAGCCCAGCAGTAATGAATGAAACAACATCTGGCTCAATGGCATCAGCACATCTAGACACCCAAGAAGCAAAACAAGCCAAAATTGCAAGCTTTACTTCTTCATTACCTGGGTGCGCAACATAGCAAAAGTGCAAAACGTATATGAATAAACTGAAAATCAATGCATGTGTATGGGTGTGTCTAATGAAATGAGTGAACTTTCTATGCAGATACTTAGTGGGACACCTGAGGATATAATGCACACATGGCACACAGAAATAAAAGAGTAAATCTAAATATACCATCATCCTTGTAACAGGACAACAGAAAGCTACAAATCGTCCTTGATAAGCTAGTAAAATATTTTCCTTCAGGGGCATTTGACATTTCTTGCAGTGCATTGATCATACCAACTCTCTGGTAGGGAAATGTAAGCCTTCCTTCCGATCCTGCCAAAGTTTAAAACTAGTCAAGCCCTATTACAGATTTGACTAAGCTTAGTTACAAACTAAGCTAAGTTTAAAACTAAGCTAATAATTAAGAAATTACTTCTAAATAAATCATTACCAAACCTAAGTTACAAACTAACCTCCAATTACAGATTTGACTGCTTTGAACATTTCTTCTAGAGCATCTGGACTGCTTGACTTTGTGCTCAAGCATCGAATTATAGATAAGGCAGTTGTTTTTCTTTCTCCGTCTGTATGCCTTGCCTGTGTTAACACAACTGAAAGAATCTGAAGAGCATATTTGCTCAAGTCAAGCCTGGCCGATTCCATAAGGACAGCAACTGATTCCAAAACAAGCTCCGGGTTTCGTTTCAACATCTTGACAGACAGTGGGATGACAGTATTTTGAAAATCTTCATGAGACAGATGTGCAAATAATGGAATGAAGGCCTGACAGAGGTCTTTTGGTGGCTTTTCTTTTGCATTTAGAACTGATTTAGTGTACATATCAAGATAGAGTTGCTGTATGATACAGGAAATAAACATTAGATTATTGAAGGGGTAGAATCAGTACTTTTTTGAAGTTTTTGTAGCTAGGAGCACATGGTACGTGTTCACCCACTAAAATAAAAGGTTACAACCATAACAAACCCATTGCTAGCATTTCTTACCTTCCATTTATCACATAGAGAGGGGTTGGGTGTTGAAAATTCGAGCATCAACAATAGAATATCAGGACAATCTTTATATGGGATCCTTGAATTCTCAAGTTCTTCCATATAACTTTCATAAAGGTGTGGTGACTGCAAGCGAATAAAAAGCAAGCTAAAATCTCTGTATAGCACACTTCAAACAATAATAAACCAAGTGACCAACTGCTTTAGGAAAATATACCTTTGAAAACAAAAAGAAAATGCTTTGTTTGCATGCTCTTCTAACACGAGGTGATCCTTGCATACCAATATGAAGTACTGATGCCTGCACTTGAGCTACTCTAGAAAATGCATTTTTTGATGCTAAGCTAAACTCGCTTTCAGTGATGAGTAAACAGGACCACTTCAAAAGCCTGTGACAGACTACATGTGACTGAAACTTCGCATTCTTCTCCATAACCTGTACAAGGGTTGCTGCAAAACTCTTCATAAATGCTACTTGTCTCAAACATTTTATGACCACATCATCCACTGCTTTCATCGATCCTCGGTCGTCATAAATAAATAAAGTCTTGAAAATTAAATCTATCAACACAGATGCAATCTCGGTCGTCATTTCTGCATCTTAAAAAAACACATCAGCATTTGAAGTATAGAATGTAAACAATATAAAGGAAAAGAATGGGATCTTGGTTTTTTTGTATAATAAACACATCAGTATCAAAACTTTTTTCAAATATCTAAGCAAGTATAATTAAGTGAGCAAGTGGTTACTAGCCTGCGTAGTATAGAATTATACATCTCTAGTTCTCAGGAAATGTAATATGAATATATATTTAAAAGAGAAATACATTGGTATTTGATGAAGCCCAGCATCCATGAGCTCCTATATTTGTTTGCCTTGCATTTTATTCAATATCACTTCCTTAATTGTCTTTAATTATTTATAAAATAAAATGTTCTTAAGACTGAATTAACAGTACTTCTACTCCTGCTGGTATGGGTAAGATTCGTGTACTGGAGCTTACTTCCCAGTGGGGCATAGTGGGTGTGTTTGGTTTAGTTTATATGTTCATAAAAATGATTGGAACAATTGCGCAACAGCTTTTTAAGCTTTCTTTCCTGAGCAGAGATTTTCTCCATTCTCATAATAAATTCATATGAACTTCCACATTATAATAAACTGTGCGGGCAAAAGCATAAACATTTTGCATTATTGACAGTATGCAGATTAAAGTAGTCAAGATGAATAACAAACTGACCAAGAGAAACTAAAATTTCAGTCAAAACTGAATCCACTGTGGTTTGTTGAATAACTGTTACATAGTGCTCGCAGAATAGAGTGAGCCTATGAAATGATTACCTGAACGACTGAGAATAGACGGAATCTCATCTCGGAAGATCTGAACTTGACGTTTGGTGGATGGCGTCGTCACTGATGAATCAATGGACGTCAGTGACTCCACTGGATTTGCCATGGGCAAAAATGCGTTAGTGCAGCTAATCCGGAGGTGACAGACGCGCTGAAATGGAAACCTTCTACTAAGTCAGCTATAATGAAAAGATGGCGCCCGCCGGCGGAATGAGGTCGGACGTAGTATGGGTGAGCTGTAGCTTTGTTTTTACTGGTAGGGTTTTAGTCTTTGATGACAAGTAAAGGTTGGTTTGCGGCGCGCGGAGGTAAAAAGTAGATTCTACAGAAAACAGAGATAATAAAAGTTGGTAGTGTTTGGTAATTAAAAAAAATATGAGGGAGAAGTTTTCATAAAATAATTTAAACTAGATTAAAAATAACTCTTTATGTATCATAATATAATTACATTAGTATATTTTTATTCATCACACATTTAGATTAGGGCTAATTTATAATTTACACACACATATAATGAACATTTCTTATTCTGGAACAATTAAAAAAGAAATTGCTCTAAATGGACGTAAAAATTTTGGAGGTTCTTCCATAATTATTACTACTTTTTACTAGTTGGACAAAAAAGTGACTAGGGTAAATAAAGATCTACGTAAACGGTGAGCAAAATACTCAAAGGACTTTGTTGCCCCCAAAGGGTTATGAAGAGAAGAAATTAACTAGAAAGCCGAATTTCTGAGAATCGGGGAAAAACAATGGAAAAAGGGTCAAATATATCACTTCAACCCTTTTACTTTAAAAAGTATCACATAAATATACATACTTTAAAAAAAAGCATCAATCTAAGTTACCTATTCGCAACTCCTTATAGCAAGTCACTGGTCCATGTGACGTGTTCTTTCCGTTTTTTACGTTTTTTTTTCAGTTTTCTTGTCTTCTGCGTCATATATATACAGTACTTCATACGAATATATACCACGTATAAAACGTAGTTGTCTGATCACTCCATCGTGACTTTCTCTCCTTTTTTAATTTTTTTTGCAAATATCGTGACTTTCTCTTTTCTTTCTATTGCTTCGTATTATTATTTTCTTTTCCTTTTTGTTATTTTATGTTTTTTGTCTTTCCCTGGAATTACAAATTTCTATTCCCCTTGTTTGTATTTTACTTCTCTTATTTAACTTTTGAAAATTTGGGAAAGAGATATATATTTTTCTCGTAAGGATGAATCGGATCACACATTGAAATGTAGTATTCATGTTTTTGAGTTTGTACATGTTACCCCTAAATTGTTCAAAATATTATAAATGTGATCTTCTACGTCAAATCTGAATTAGCACCGTTAATTTTTATAATTTTTGACACGATTAAAGTATAACTTCTAGCATAATAAATAAAAAGATATAGTTTTGCAAAAAAAATGCACCGGGTCGGGTCTCGAAAGTTACACCATAGATGAAAATGATGATTGAAAAAAAATGAATTTTATAGAAATTAAATGTCCAGCACAGATAAAAGACATTTTCGAAATGACCAAAAAACGTATTGTTTTTTTACACGTTGTCAAAATTGTTTTCGCCGGCAATTTTTCCTGTAAAAGTCAAACACAGACAAAAAATGTCGGTCTTAAAAATCAAAATTTTCATACTATAAAAAGTCTTGCACAGATAAAAAGGGACAATTTTCTAAATGTTAGTAAATGAAGGCGAAAATATTAGGGCCGGGACTTTGGTACCAAGAACCGGAGAACCGAATCGGACCGAACCGTTATGACTCGGTTCGATTCGGTTCCAACATTTATTAGTTATTTGTTAACGGTTCGGTTCCTATTTTTTTATTAACGGTTCGGTTCTCGGTTCCTGAAAAAAAATATGTACCAAGAACCGTTAAGGAACCGTTATATATAATAATTAAAATTATATACATATTCTTAGGAGTATATATATTTTAATGCATATTTACTTACTTATTTTTATATTACATTCATTGTTTTAGTTTTGTTATTTAACTATTTAAAACTATTATTCACTTCAACCGGTTCTCTTAGGCTTCTTAGGCCTCTCATTAGGTCCAAACTCCAGCGGGTCGGAACTCGGAAGGTCCAAACTATTTAAAATTATTATTCTCTTTAATTGGTTCAACATATTTGTATTGTAATTTCCAACGTTGAATGTCTTTTTGCCAAAAATTTAGTTATAATTTGTAAAAAAAAAATTCAAAGACTAGGAACCGTTAAATGACAAGAACCGAACCGTTAAGAACGGTTCAGTTCCTTATCGGTTCTATCAAATAATTTATAAGAACCGAACCGTTAGTAAAATTTCATATTTTCAAACAGTTCCACATATTTTGCCTAAGAACCGAACCGGTCCCAGGCCTAGGCGAAATTGTAACAATCACTAATGCTAAAGATACCCCATTTTGTACCCCCTCCTATGTCTGTGGTTCACAAAAGCAATGAGTTAAAATGGAGCAATTATTTTAAGTGGGTTGGATTTTTGTGAGCCACAAACATAATATGGGGTACAAAATGGGGTAGAAAATGGGGTACCTCTAGCATTTCTCTTGTAACAATAGGAGCATAAAGTTTAAATTTCCGAAATAGGACTAACTCTTCTTATTCTCAACCATTTCCCTTGTCATGCTTAATATGATTTTTTAAATAATAAGAATAATAAAACATAAAAAATAAAAACATAAAAATAAATAAATTATATTTAGGCCTCAACGAGCATCTCATAAACCTTCGAGCGCTTTCACCCCGGTCGTTGAAAAAACAACTTGCAAAAACATGTCACCATAATGGTAATTTTGAAAAGAAAGATGGATATTTAAAAAAAAAATGCCACTTTCATGACATTTTTTAGATATGTGACATTTATTTCTTCACGTTTTTATTATTAATTTATAAATATTTTATTCATTTTTATATTTTTATTATAAGGATTCTTAGTTAAATGTATCACAAACTATCATGAAATTCATAAATTTATCCCGTACTTTCTTTTTAACTAAAAAAAGGCTTGAACTTCAATTTTTCTCACAATTACACTTTCAATGGATGAATTAGTAAAACTTAAGAAAGATATCATACTCCCTCCGTCCCTCCGTCCCTGAAATAACTTCTCACTTTCTTTATTTGGATGTCTCTAATTTAACTTCTCATTTCCTTAAGGGCCAGTATGGTTGGGGGATTTCGGAGGGGAAGGAAGGGCAGGAGTCATATTTAAATTTAAAACATTTTTTCCATTTTTAAAAAGAGTTTTTTACATGAATATTTTCAAAAGTATTTGGGGTTACAAAAATATGACTATTAATGAGGAACTCATTCGGCAACATGGGAGTAAAAATAGGGTAAATAGTCATACTTTTGTTAGTGAGGTTTAAAGTAATTATATTTATGTAATTTTTTCTTTGAAAAATTCAAATAAAGTGAAGACAAAATAGTATATAAAAATACATGGTTTAACTAATTATATAGTTATTTGAAGTTTAAAACTAAAAAATTGATAAAATAAAAAATCAATCCTCCCCTTCCCTCCCATCCGAAATCACCCAACCATACTGGGGTAAATGACAAGTTATCCACATCAAATACAGTGCAAAACAGTGTCAAACAATGTCGAAACAGTGTTAAAACAGTAAAATTTACCTCATGGTAAATTTATTTCCTTAATATGTTTGTAAATCAAATTGGGAAGTTGTTTCGGGGACGGAGATAGTATTTATATTTCAGTTTTTTCACATTTTTCTAGTTTTTTAACTTTACAAACTTGTATTTCTTATGTCTTATTGGTATTGATAAAAATGTGTAATTTAAAAGAATACAAAATAGAAAAGCATAATTGTTAAAAAAAGATGAAATTTTAGTCTTTTTTATAAAAGTGAAAGAATATGATAGATTTGTGAATTTGATAATAGTTTGGAATAAAATAAGCTGATAATCCTTATTATAAATATGGCTATAATTTTCTTATTAATAGAAAAAATTTATTAGGGGTTATAGGAATGAAGAAAGGGCATATGATAGAGAGATTTGATTGAAATCAGAAAAATATATAAAAATTGTATATAAATTTTAAAGCTTCTTCTTAGATACTCCGTACGGGTAAGAAATTTTAAAAATTGTATAAGAAATTTTTACCCAGGGGGCGTCAGGGGGAGGGGGGTTTGGGGGCATGGGGTAAAATGTGATTAATCTCACTCCATTCAGAATCGAACTCGGGACCTCCCATAAGGGAGAGTGAGTCGATGACCAGCTGGGCGGAACAATCCGATGCTTGCAAATGAATTAGTAACTTTGAATGGGGGATTAGATTTTAATGATGGAGTTGCAGTAACAAATAGTTACTTCGACTATGTTTCAGTTGCTTCATCTACATTACTTAGTAAGTAATTACATACCAGTAAGTCACGTTGGATGTGTTATAGTTACTTCATTTACATTACATAATCACATGGTGGTAACTTGTCTTTTGTTATAGCATTAGCAAGGTTTGATTTCCAACTTGCAGGAAGTCACAGGGATTGCAGCAACCTTGGATTTAGGGAGGTATTTGGAAGTTCTAGTTTTGCATGGCAGAAAATGTAAAAACATGTTTTCTTTTGTCTTGGACCGTATAAGCCAGAAACTTTCATTGTGGAAGGAGAAGACACTTGGTTTGGCTGGTAGAATGACTTTAATTCAAGCGGTTACAGTAGCAATCCCGCAACATGTTATGCAAAGTGTGCTGTAGCCTTCAAATATATGTGCTAGATTAGATAAAGCTGACAAAGATTTTCTTTGGGGTAGTTCAGGTGGAACCAAGAGAGTTCATCTTGTGGGTTGGGATGAAGTTTGTCAGCCAAAATCTGTAGGAGGACTAGGGATACGGAAGGCTAGGAAAAATAATTTGGCTTTACTCGCAAAGTTGGGATGAGAGCTTCTTTTTTATAGCTCAAAGCTTTGGGTTAAAATTATGAAAGCGATGTATATTAAAAACTCATCTTTCTGGAGTTTGGAGAAGAAAAAGAGTTCTCCGCACATTTGGAGGGACATTCTACAGAGTCGGGATATCCTTAAACGGGGATTGGGCTGGAAGGTAGGCACAGGGAATGAAATCTCATTCTGGTTTGATCATTGGGTGGGAGAGGGAGCACTTTATGAAGAATTGGGATCACCTCTTGGAGTGAACGCTGGTTTAATTAAAGTTGTTGATTTCATCACACAGGAGGGGCTCTTGGAAAATTGAAGAACTAGAATCTATTCTGCC